TGGAGGTATCTCCTCCTGGAACGGACAGAGCTCTAACTTTTGGATGGCGTTTCTCTCGACTCAGGAAGGGACATTGCTCTCTCCTCTCTCTAGGCTTCCAAGGTAATATCTAGTCTCAGGGCATCAAATACCACATATAGGCTGATATTCCCCACCAGAACTTTTATCTTCATCCCAGACCTCTCTGAAAGATATACAGAATAGAGCCCGCTGCCTACATGATGTCCTCCCCAGATGTCCCACAGGCACCTAGAACTTAACATGCCAAAAACAGAACTCTTGGTTTTGTCTCTGAAACCTGTCCTCGTATTTTCTTTTGCTGGAAATGATACCATCATCCACACAGGTGGGCACATTGATGACAATTTTTTCCTTTCCCTTAGTCGCCTCCTCAGTCCAATCCATCCCTAAGTCCTGTTGATTCTACCTCCAAAATACATCTTGAATCTGTCCACTTCTCTCCACTGCAGACTTTTAACCATCACTTCTCCCCTAGATGACTGCAATAGCCTCCTAAATGAACTTTCTGCATTTACTACAGGCCCTTGCAGTCTTTTCTCCTCCTAGCAGCCAGACAAATCTTCTAAAAATATAAATCCAATCATGTTATTTGCTTGCTTAAAAACTGCCAATGCTTTCTTTCCCATTGTACTTTGCAAAAAATCCATATGGAGGTCTACAGGCTCTACACATCTGGCCCCTACCATTCCTGCTGACATCTCCACTCACCCTCTGTCCCACTCAGCCCCAGCTGTACTGGCTTCTTGTTTCTTGAACATGCCAAGCTCTCTTCCACCTCAAGTTCTCCTTTTCCTCTGTCCTGAATGTTCTTGGCTAAGTCACATGGCTAAGTCCTTCTTGACCTTCAGGTCTTGGCACATCCTCAGCAAGTTTTTTCCCTGACCTTTTCTACCTGAGAGACTCCCCCTACCTTCTCCCCTATTCCAACATTGTTCTTTATCCCTGCAGCATGTCTTTTAATTCATAGTCTTTGCTTTTGGGCTGTCTTTGCCACTAGACAGGCTTCACAAAGGCTGGGATCATGTCTGTTTTTATACACTACTGTATCCCCAGAGCGTGGCACACAGTAAATACTTAATAAAGATCTGTTGAATGGATCAATTAGCCCTGCACTGGGTGAAGGGGATACAGAGATGACACAGATATGGTCCTTCCCTTCTGTAATGCCATAGTCTGATGAAAAATATTTAATTGTAAAACTGGTAATATAGTGGAGATGAGAACTGGAAGCAGTAGGAACACAGAAAGACTCTTTCCCCAGTGTGGGGTACCTGTGTGAGTAGGGGGACTGCTTACATGATCCAGGCCACCAGCATCTCCCTAGAATAAATGCAATTTCTTCTTCTAATAACTAACATTTATTAGTGTGCCAGGTTCCATGTACTGTTTCTTGTTCGTTTTGTTTTTAAAGTATCCAAAGTAATACGCTTCTAAGTGGTAGGGCTAGGATTCAATATCTGGCAGTCTGGCTCCCAAGCCTGCATCCTTTTTTTTTTTTTTTTTTAATAATTTCAGGCGAAATTCACACAACATAAAATTAACCATTTTAAAATGAACAATTCAGTGGCAGTTACTACATTCACAATGTTGTGCAACCACCACCTCTGTCTAGTTCAAAAACATTTCTATCCTTTCCAAAGAAAGACTCCTTACCAATTAAGCAATTTCCCCGCATTCCCTTCCATGTACAGTTTTTGATCCTCACAATGACCTAATTGTACAATTGAGGAAAATGAGGCTCTGAGACGTTTAGTGATAAGTCCAGGATCACATAGCTAGTAAATGTGGAACAGTGATTTTGAACCTCCATTTTCTGACTTCAGAGACTAAACCTTTGATTAATACATATCTTTGGGGGAACCCACAAGCAGGGGGCTAGATCTGGGTTTCAAATAGAGTAGATTTTGTTGGGACAGAAAACTAGAAGTTATAAGTGCGCCCTCAATTGTAAAAATCGCACATTGAGGTAAAATTGCAATTAGTACTGTACAGGAAGTTGGCAGAGCCAAAAGCAATCTAAGCAGATCTCAGCAGCTACAGAGCAGGACTTGCAAAGGTCAGCACCGCAGGAAGCGTTGCTATCGCCTCAAAAACAAGAAGTCCGTCATTCTTTGGCATCCCCTATATGCGCCAAGCTGGGAGCGGAAAAGAGGCAGAGGAGCCAGGAGGGCCTGGCTTGCCTTCCAGGGGCCAGGCTCTGCCAGGAAACCCCAGGTGGTTGCTCGCAAGAGAAGCGAGGGATGCAACAGGAGAAAACAGAGTAGGAAGCAGGCCCAGGCCCACTGCATCACACTCTGAGGGGGCCTCCAGGGCACGGGGCCTCCTTAGTACCTGTCTTATAACTCCGGGAGGGCTGCTATCTCTCTAGTATCTCTCTTTCGCAACACAGGGGTGCTCTCTCTAGGGCTCCCCTTTTCTCTTTGAAGGTCAACGATCCTCTTTATGGGACTCTCAGAGAGTACCCTTCTAAGTTGCCCCTCATAGTTTCCTCCTCTTTCCTGAGAGGGCTGGGCGGGCCCCTCCAGCTCCGATGACGGAAGGCTTCTTCCGCAAGCTCTCCACCTTCTCCCGGATGGGGGTGGCAGCCGAGTTCTAGTTCAACAATGCACCGCCATCGGCCCAGTCGCGCCCCTGGTGCTCCCAGAGGGCAGCTCCATGGAAACCAAAACATCACAACTCCACGGAGGTATCGCGAGAAGCGCGGTTGAGCCTGCGGCGGGGGAGAGGCGGAGCGAGGGCGGGAACGCAGAGAGAGGAGGGAGGAGCCCGGGCGCTGCCGAGGTCCGGGTGGTGAGCTTCCCTCCCGGCGGCGCCCCCGCGTGACTGCGCTTTACATAATCGTGGCCGCGCGCGTCATAGTTGCGTACTCCGCTCCAGACCGAATCGGAGTCGTTGAAAGCTCCGTGGTCCGCCCCTTTCTGCTTGATCGACGTCTCAGTGAACCAGTGAACGGGCGTCCAGCGCCGCCGAGCCCGCCCCGGGCCGCCCAGGCCCGCCCGCGCCCGCCCGCCAGCC